CTGCACATATATGGTCACTATAGGCAGGTAATCTTTTTATACACAGGTCACTTTACATGTAAATTGCCTTGGGACTGCACATATATGGTCACTATAGGCAGGTAATCTTTTTATACACAGGTCACTTTACATGTAAATTGCCTTGGGACTGCACATATATGGTCACTATAGGCAGGTAATCTTTATATACACAGGTCACTTTACATGTAAATTGCCTTGGGACTGCACATATATGGTCACTATAGGCAAGTAATCTTTTTATACACAGGTCACTTTACATGTAAATTGCCTTGGGACTGCACATATATGGTCACTATAGGCAAGTGGTTATTATTATATAGAGGTGGTCATGAATGCAAATTTAACTGCATTGTTTACACAACATTCAAATACATGCACTAATTATGGCGCTATAATTGGTATAATCACATTTAAAATGAGATAATCATCATATTAAGGTATTAATTTCTAACTTTGTTGATTCTTCCTCGTTACAGGATAGTCGCATAACTGATGCAGCTAACGAAGCCAAAGATAATGTTAAATATTTATACACGCTGGATAAATTTTTCGGACCTCTAGTCAAAAGTGATCCTGTAAGTATTAGCAATTTGAATTGATAAAACATCGAATATTTAAATTTCTTGCTTTATTTTCTTTTCCAAGAGGGCATTATATCATCACCCGATGCATAATACATCTGTAATATTGATGAGAATATCTATATTGTCAACATTTGGGGATGTCTTTTTGTGAGATATTTTTATTGAGAATCTAGTCATGTGCTCAACTCGATATTCTTACTAGATAGTTGTAGAGACCTGTTTTGATCTGTTTATTAGTGAGAATGCCTGGATTGAATGGCAGTTTGCTACAATCCCATATAGGAAGGCAATTTAATAACATTTAAATTAAATCGCATTTCGTTACAATAACTTAAATTCAATCAAATTTAATTTAATTTAAAGGTCTTTGTAATACAGTATATCAACTTACGGGTAAACCAAATAACATAACCAAATTAATTACTTTAATTTTATTTATTTTACAATTACATTTTGTATCCAATTGCTGTTCCGGTTTTAGGTTATAGAGACACATCCTTTGTATTTCATGCCTAACTCATTTTGAATGTTTTTTTGTTGTTTTTTTATATTTGCAGGCCACACTGGTGGACTTGTTGCCTAGCCTAATGAACGCCATCCGAATGATCTACAGTATCTCACAGTATTACAATACGTCGGAACGTATGACGTCACTCTTTGTTAAGGTCACTAACCAGATGATAACCACATGTAAAGCTTACATTATGGATGGTGTAGCTAAGGTCTGGGAGCACGAGAGACCGGAGTTACTCAAAAGGCTCAATCAGTGCATATTTTTGAATGAGGAATACCAGAAGCACTTCCAGAAAACGAAGGATAAACTCAGAGAGAACCCGAATGAAAGACAGTTTGAATTCAGGTAATGACAAATTTAAGGTGTATTTTTTGTTGGGTGTTTGTGATTTTTATTCTTTTATCTGTGGCAACAGCCTTACCAGTGTTCCTAAGCAGAGCTCTGATCAACTTTAGCTGTTTTCTACAAATAAATCTAATTTTGGCATCTGAAATCACGGTTGATCAGATGATGAGATTTTGCAATGTAACTTAGGGAACTGATCATTACCACCAAGCCGGTTTCCTGTGAGTCTCCTGCGGCATGCGTTTCTTTACCGTACCGGCCGTTGCTTTACCGTACCGGCCGTTGCTTTACCGTACCGGCCGCTGCTTTACCGTACCGGCCGCTGCTTTACCGTACCCGAAGGTCATTAGCCGTACCGGCAAGGCCGTTACCGTACTGGCAGGAGGCAATTCACACTTCTGACAAGTTAATTTATGCATTGATTTTCCGGTTTACCGGTAAAATGCCGACCTGTTTAAATTTCAGTTTTATGCACAGGATCGCCTGAGAAAGCAAAACTGTAGAATTAATTTGAGTAGAATTTGTTTAGTTTGTAGTTATAGTCTGTTTATAAATCATTTTGTTCATGTTTGCTATGCAGTAGCTTTCGAGGTCAAATACACCACCAGGTCAATTTGTTGCGTCTTTTTATTTGTCAGAGATTAAACTTTACCATTATTATTGCATAATATTTACATTCAAGTTGCTACACATGATTTTTTTGAGACCACGGAGCTCCCAGTACGTCCATGTGAACTGTTGGATATGACTACAGACGGAACTGCGTCTTTATTTTATACGATATTTTTTTTTTTTTTAAATCGGGATCAGTGCTCCCAAATCAACTGAGCCGACAAAGTGGATTACAAAAATAACAGTTCCATGAAAGTGGCTATATTTGTGTATGATGAATCCTGAGTCGGTAGTTTTGGCATGTAACCTAATGGTTTTGACCCAGTGCAATGTATCCGGTTAGAATCAAAGCTCACGTGTCCCTTATTTGAGGGACCAAATTCTGCCGTAAATTCGCCCTTGGATTAAAAAATAAAATGGGATTTAAGAAAATAAAATGGGACTTTTAAGGTGTATTTTGGCGTCATTTTTCGGACATTTCAATCAATCCTGCCGGCTAAAATAGAGTCTAAGTTTTACCGTAGTCATTGACGTCTGTCTATTCAAGAGTACACGTGTATGATTTTTATCGTGACTAGCGTGAGCGGGTAAGCTTCCTTTCGAGAATGAGCTGTTATCACTGTGAACAATGTTAAATTATTCTTCAGATGACCAGTTTATTTTTTAAAAACAACTAATTTTTTTATTTAAAAAAAA